AATAATTGAGGAAAACTTCCCCAGCCTTGCTAGAGTCCTAGACATTCCAACACAAGAAGTACAAAGAACACCTGGGAAATTTATCACAAAAAAATCATCGCCTAGGCACATTGTTATCAGGTTATCCAAAGTTAAGACAAAGGAAGGAATCTTCAGAGCTGTGAGACAGAAGCACCAGGTAACTTATAAAGGAAAACCTATCAAATTAACAGCAGATTTCTCAGCAGAAACCCTACAAGCTAGAAGGGATTGGGGCCCTATCTTCAGCCTCCTCAAACAAAACAATTATCAGCCAACAGTTTTGTATCAAGCGAAACTAAGCATCTTATATGAAGGAAAGACTTAGTCTTTTTCAAATGACAAATGCTCAGAGAATTTGCCATTACCAAGTCACCACTACAAGAACTGCTAAAAGGAGCTCTAAATCTTGAAACAAATCCTGGAAACACATCAAAACAGAACCTCTTTAATGCATAAATCACACAGGACCTATAAAACAAAAATACAAGTTACAAACAAGCAAACAAAAAAACCAAAAGTACACAGGCAACAAAGAGCATGACGAATGCAATGGTACCTCACTTTCTTTTTTTTTTTTTTTTTTTTTTTTTTGGAGACGGAGTCTTGCTCTGTGGCCCAGGCTGGAGTGCAGTGGCCGGATCTCAGCTCACTGCAAGCTCCGCCTCCAGGGTTCACACCATTCTCCTGCCTCAGCCTCCCGAGTAGCTGGGACTACAGGTGCCTGCTACCGCGCCCGGCTAGTTTTTTGTATTTTTTAGTAGAGACGGGGTTTCACCGTGTTAGCCCGGATGGTCTCGATCTCCTGACCTCGTGATCCGCCCGTCTCGGCCTCCCAAAGTGCTGGGATTACAGGCTTGAGCCACCGCGCCCGGCCTGTACCTCACTTTCAATACTAACATTGAATGTAAATGGCCTAAAGGCTCCACTTAAAAGATACAGAACTGCAGAATGGATAAGAGCTCACCAACCAACTATCTGCTGCCATCAGTAGACTCACCTAACGCATAAGGACTCACATAAACTTAAAGTAAAGGGGTGCAAAAAGGCATTTCATGCAAATGGACACAAAAAGTGAGCAGGGATAGCTATTCTTATATCAGACAAAACAAACTGTAAAGCAACAGCAGTTAAAAGAGACAAAGAGGGACATTATATAATGGTAAAAGGCCTTGTGCAACAGGAAAATATCACAATCCTAAACATATATGTACCTAACATTGGAGCTCCCAAATTTATAAAACAATCACTAATAGACCTAAGAAATGAGACACACAGCAACGCAATAATAGTGGGGGACAATAATATTCCACTGACAGCACTAGACAGGTAATCAAGATAGAAAATCAACAAAGAAACAATGGATTTAAACTATTCCTTGGAACAAATGGACTTAAGAGATATATACGAACATTCCACCCAACAACCACAAAATACACATTCTATTCAACAGAGCATAGAACTTTCTCCAAGATAGACCGTATGATAGGCCATGAAATGAGCCTCAATAAATTTAAGAAAACTGAAATTATATCAAGCACTCTCTTAGACTACAGTGGAATAAAACTGGAAATCAACTCCAAAAGGAATCTTCAAAACTATGCAAATACATGGAAATTAAATAACCTGCTCCTGAATGAGCATTGGATCAAAAACGAAATCAAGATGGAAATTTAAAAATTCTTCAAACTGAATGACAATGACACAACCTACCAAAACCTCGGATACAGCAAAGGTGGTGCTAAGAGGAAAGTTCATAGCCCTAAATGCCTACATCAAAAAGATCGAAAGAGCATAAACTGACATTCTAAGGTCACACCTCAAGGAACTAGAAAACAAGAACAAACCAAACTCAAACCCAGTAGAAGAAAGGAAAAAAACAACATCAGAGCAGAACTAAATGAAATTGGAACAACAACAACAACAAAAATACGAAAGACAATTGAATCAAAAAGCTGGTTCTTTGAAAATAAAATTGATAGGCCATTCTCAAGATCAACCAAGAAAAGAAGAGAGAAAATCCAAAATCCAAATAACCTCACTAAGAAACAAAACAGGAGATATTACAACTGACCTCAGTGAAATACAAAAGATCATTCAAGGCTACTGTGAACACCTTTACACCCATAAACCTGAAAACCTAGAAGAGATGGATATATTCCTGGAAAAATACAACCTTCCTAACTTAAATCAAGAAGAATTAGATACCCTGAACTGACCAATAACAAGCAGCAAGATTGAAATGGTAATTTAAAAATTATCAACATAAAAAAGTCCAGGACCAGATGGATTCACAGTAAAATTCTACCAGACATTCAAAGAAGAATTGATACCAATTCTTTTGATACTACTTCACAGTACAGAGAAAGAAGGAACCCTCTCTAATTCATTCTATGAAGCCAGCATTACCCTAATAGCAAAACCAGCAAAGGACAACCAAAAAAGAAAATTACAGACTGATATCCTTGATAAACATAGATGCTAAAAATCCTTAACAAAACACTAGCTAACCAAATCCAACAACATGTCAAAAAGATAATCCACAATGATCAAGTGGTTTTTATACCAGGGATGCTTTAACATACACAAGTCAATAAATGTGATACACCACATAAACAGAATTAAAGACAAAAATCATGTGATCATCTCAACAGATGCAGAAAAAGCATTTGACAAAATCCAGGATGCCTTTATGATTAAAACTCTCAGCAAAAATTGGCATACAAGGGACATACCTCAATGTAATAAAAGCCATCTATGACAAACCCACAGCCAACATAATACTCAATGGGGAAAAGTTGAAAGCATTCCCTCTGAAAACTGAAACAAGACAAATATGCCCACTCTCACCACTCCTCTTCAACATAATACTGGAGGTCCTAGCCAGAGCAATCAGACTAGAGAGAAAAATAAAAGGCATTAAAGTCAGTAAAGAGGAAGTCAAACTGTCCATTTGCCGATGATATGATCATTTACCTTGAAAACCCCAAAGACTCCTCCAGAAAGTTCCTAGAACTAATAAAAGAATTCAGCAAAGTTTCTGGATACAAGATTAATGTACACAAGTCAGTAGTTCTTCTATACACCAACAGCAGCCAAGCAGAGGATCAAATCAAGAACTCAACCCCTTTTACAATAGCTGCAAAAAAAAAAAAAAGAAATACTTAGGAATATGCCTAACCAAGGAGTCAAAAGACCTCTACAAGGAAAACTACAAAACACTGCTGAAAAAAATCATAAATGACACAATGACGCAAACAAATGGAAACACATCCCATGCTCGTGGATGGGTAGAATCAATATTGTGAAAATGATCATACTGCCCAAAGCAATCTACAAATTAAATGCAATCCCCATCAAAATACCACAAACATTCTTCAGAGAATTAGAAAAAACAATTCTAAAATTCATATGGAACCACAAAGAGCCTACATTGCCAAAGCAAGACTAAGCAAAATGAACAAATCTAGAAGCATCACACTACCTGATTTCAAACTATACCATAAGACCATAGTAACCAAAACAGCATGATACTGGTATAAAAATAGGCACATAGACCAATGGAACAGAATAGAGAACCCAGAAATAAACCCAAATACCTACAGTCAACTGATCTTTGACAAAGCAAACAATAACATAAATTGGGGAAAGGACACCCTATTCAACAAATGGTGCTGGGATAATTGGCTAGCCACACATAGGGGAATGAAACTGGATCCTCATCTTTCACCTTATACAAAAATCAACTCAAGATGAATTCAGGTCTTAAACCTAAGACCTGAAACTAAACATTCTACAAGATAACATTGGAAGAACCCTTCTAGACATTGGCTTAGGCAAGGATTTCATGACCAAAAACCCAAAAGCAAATGCAATAAAAGCAAAGATAAATAGCTGGGACTTAATTAAGCCAAACAGCTTTTGCACGGTGAATGGACAGTCAGCAGAGTAAACAGACAACCCACAGAATGGGAGAAAATTTTCACAATCTATACATGTGACAAAAGACTAATATCCAGAATCTACAACGAACTCAAATCAGTAAGAAAAAAACAATCCCATCAAGAAGTGGGCTACGGATATAAATAGACAATTCTCAAAAGAAGATATACAAATGGGCAATAAACATATGAAAAGATGCTCAGCATCACTAATAATCAGGGAAATGCAAATCAAAACCACAATGTGATACCACCTTACTCCTGCAAGAATGGCCATAATGAAAAAAACAAAAACCAGTAGATGTTGGCGAGGATGCGGTGATCAGGGAACACTTCTACGCTGCTGGTGGTAATGTAAACTAGTACAGACACTATGGAAAACAGTGTGGAGATTCCTTTAAGAACTAAAAGTAGAACTATCATTTGATCCAGCAATCCTATTATTGGGTATCTACCCAGAGGAAAGGAAGTCATTATTTGAAAAAGATACTTGCGCACGCTGTTTATAGCAGCACAATTCACAATTGCAAAATCGTGGAACCAACCCAAATAACCGTCAATCAATGAGTGGATAAAGAAACTGTGATATATATATTTTTGGTGAACAATATGTTACACCTGTAGTATTCATTAACAAATTTATGCCCCTGGTTTAATACAGCTGCATACTTTTTCCACCAACAATTGCCATTTCCCCCAAAAAAATTCACTGAAAGGATTTTTTCAATCAAACACATATTTTTTAGGAAGGATTAAAGCACATAAAACATAGCCATTCATGAATAAAGTAAAACATAGTGGGTTTGTGGTAGGCATAGACATATGATGTGGTGAGGTCCTCTTCAAACGTGAGGGACTGACAGAATAGACTCAAAATGAATATTGGTTGAATGAGCACATACAATGCACGAGTACAATTGGTGTAAAATTTCTTTAGAGACATTTTTAAGAGAGGCAAAGGATTTTAGTTTTATTGCACCTAGGTGGTTTGAGCAGCAGTCTAAAGCATAATGACAATGCCGATGCCTGTTTTCTGTCTAGGATCTGCGAGACCGCCTGTGGGACATTTGTGACGCACGGAAGGAAGAGGCAGAGCAGGAGCGGCTTGACATCATTAATGAGAACTGGTTACAGGACTCTCTTGGAATGACAATGAACCATTTCTTTTCCCTGATGCAGGTAAGAGCAGTGGTCACAATGACCCAGGCACTTCCCTTCACAGCCTCATCCCTCAGTCCCTCATATGACACTTTCTTGGGAACATGAGAGATCTGTTCAGGGCTCACTATGCCTGGTATGAGCTCCAACTCACCAAGAAAGCTAGCTGAAATAATACATTTTGGTCCAGCCCAATATGCACCCAAATTGGAAGCATCTCAAGCAACTACCCACCAGCATTGCTCCAGGTGGCCTAGATATGTAGAAAGCCACAGTAGAAATAGTGTCTACAACTGAGTTACCTCACCAGACTCTCAAAGCAGACCCCTTAGGTGGACAAAGAAAGCCCAGGAAAGCAGCCTGACCACAACAAACATAGGCAAGATCAGGCCAGGCAGACATTTGATTCCTGAAAATAAAAAGTTTTCCAATACTGGACTAGAAAAACAGACCATAATCAATGCAACCTGATTAACTTATATTTGCAGCCTATTAAGTTAAAAAAAAAATTGCACAGGACAAGATTAGAAGACAGGTGCTGATTTTATTCTGACACCACTGCCAGCAATTGGGGAGAAAGCACAAACCCAACTCTGCCAAGACAAAGGGCTAGAGAGTTTTTAAGAGCCGGAGTAGGTTAGAAGGTATGGGTCATAGGCCAACTGTGTTTGCCAATTGACGTTATCAGAAGGAAAAGTCAACTTTCTACAATCTTCATCACAGGAGATAGTTTTAGGACTTGAAGCAATGCACCCAGTGAAGTTAGGCTCCTACTCTCACACAGGAACTCGGAGACAGAGGCACTGTATTCCTTGGTGATTAACTACATTACAAAGAGATGGTTTTTAGGTCCTTGAGAAAGACGTTCTTTTCTGGGTTGTACAAATGGTGGGAGGCTTTTGAAAAGATTTACATCTCAAAGGAACAGTGAAAGGATTTACAACGTCAAGTTTTCTTAAAGCAAATGCTCTAACAAAAGGGAGGTGGGGCCTAGAGTCAGGAAGCAGCCTGTCTAAAGTTGGGTCAAGCTGAAGAGAATATGAAGGCTGTCTTCGTTCAAGTTGTGTGTACATGAGTATTTTTTTCCTAAAACAACAGGAGTGAAGATAGAGAATGGAAAAGGGTACATTTCTGGTCTTTAGTTGATTTACTTAGATAAAGAGATACTACAGGAAATGAGAGTACTTATCTGGCAATCCCTACAGCTAGTGCATAAAAGGTGTTCAGTAAATGTCTTTTCATCAAAGGGCCAATACATGCTGATACTTCCAGTCTTCAAAGGGACAATTCATGGCTCAGGCATAGGCCAGACCATAGAAGGTCTGAAATATCACCAGAAATCTGAGAGGCAGAAGCAGCCCCTCAGGTAGGAGGTTTCAAGAAATCAGGATACCAGGACAGTGAAGACCCCATGCAGCCATGTTAGGAATCTGGATTGGAAAGAGAAGATGGAGTTAGAAAGATGTCATCCAAAGCAGAGGACAAAGCCGGGCCACAGCCAGGAGGACAGATCCACATGGCATGAGTTGTATGCAAAGATTAAAGTGAGGTGCCTAGCAGCCTAGACCAGTCTGGATAGCATCCCCATGACATTGGTTTGGGCAAGCAAAAATCAAGTATTATAAACAGTTGTATCAAAAGCTTATGGCAGAAATAGCGGAAAACCAATAATGAAGGCAGATACTTTTTATGAATCATTCTTGATTAACAGCGATACATACCACCTTTGGAAATGTTATATGACTCAATATTTCAATAATCCCTAGGTATAGGACTTTTATCTTGAGAAACTGAACTAATATCTAAGACCAACAAGGAATAAAGAGGAAAAAGCAGTAAATAAAAGCTAATATTTACTAAATTGTTACTATGTATATGCCAGGCACCATTCTAAAGATTTTCATGTAGAATACATTAAAACTTCCCAACAAGTTTTCACTCTTGCACCCAGGTTGGAGTGCAATGGTGCAATCTCACCTCACTGCAACCTCTGCCTCCCGGGTTCAAGCGATTCTCCTGCCTCAGCCTCCCAAGTAGCTGGGATTACAGGTGCCCACTACCACGCCTGGCTAATTTTTGTATTTTTAGTAGAGGCACGGTTTCACCGTGTTGGCCAGGCTGGTCTCGAACTCTTGACCTCAGGTGATCCATCTGCCTCAGCCTCCCACAGTGCTGGGATTACAGGAGTGAGCCACCACACCCAGCCCACTGCAAGTTCCATTATCTTCATTTCACAAATTAAGAAATGGAGACAAACACAGGTGAAACAATTTGCCCATCTGACTTCAAAGCCAGTACAGTAGCTCCCCCTTCTCCTCGGGTTTATTTTCCATAGTTTGGAAATATTACATGGAAATATTACACGGAAATTTCCTGAAATAAATAATTCATAAGTTTTAAATTGTGCTCCATTTTGAGTAGTGTGATGAAGTTTCACACTGTTTCATTCTGTCTTGCTCAGAACGTGAATCATCCCCCGTCCATAGTATCCACCCTGTAGATGCTACCTGCCCATCTGTTAGTCACTTAGTAGCCAATTTAGTTATCAGATGAAAATCATAGTGTATATAATGTTTGGAACTATCTGAGGTTTCACGCATCCATTGGAGGTCTTGAAACTTATTCCCCATGGATAAGGGAGTGTCTACTGTATTCCTAACCACTGCTTTATTGTTCAAATAGTTGAAAGTTTGCCACATAGAACTGAAGAGAGCCTTATTTTGCACTGATCAGTAAGATCCTATAAAAACCAAGGGTGGAAATTACAAAAGAGAAGGTTTCAATTCAATATTTAAAGAAAGAGCCTAATGAACAGCCCATCAAGTAAAGCTCATTTGGAGGCAATGAGCTTTTTGTCCAGGATGCTCAAAAGCAGAAGTTTGCACATGGTTTTGGAGGAACAGTGGAAAGTACACTAGAGAAAGCCTTCAAGAATCTGTGGTATTGGATAACAAACAGCTAGATAAATGTATCCCAAAGCAGATTCCATAGACATTAGTCCTACAAGATGTTTCACAAAACAAGGACTCTGTGATCAAATGACTTTGGGAAGTGCTATCTACTCTAGCCTTCCTCCCTCTCCCTGGGAGATTGACGAGTGTATCGACGTGTTTAGATATCGAAATGCCCTACAGGAAGGAAATCCTTTTTCTATTTCTATTTTCTACACTATTTGACCTTGAGAAGTTTTTGTTTCTTCCCCAACAAGGTACTCATTAACTGCCTATAGGACAAGTTTTCTACAAAATGTATTTTAGAAAATGCTATGCTAGATGATTTCTAAAATTCCTTTTAAATCTAAGATTCTGTCACAATTAAAAATCTTAAGAGAAAATATTGTTTACTAGTTATCATAAATATAACAGGAATTTTGATTAATTCTGCCTTTATGAAAATCTTGGATATAGTATGGCATCTTATTCAGATTTAGTTAATTAAATTATGCTTTCTAAAAATAAATTAATATTTTGTATAAGATAATCACTATAGTAAGGTAAGCCTAAGGCACGGAGAACAACACTGTCCCAAATACCAATTGTATAAAAGAAGCTCTACTAAACCTAATCTTTATTAAATAGTTTAGTTCTATAAGTTAAGAAGGAAATAATTTCCTGATTTCTAAATTTATTTACTAAATAATACAATGCTATGATTTAATGACATAATTTTTATAACCTCAACACACTTATTTTAATTCCCCAAAGTTGTCAATATTCAGTTTGTACAAATTGGGTTTCTATATGATCCAATTCACCATAAATGTGGCATTCTGCAAGTTCTCATAATTTACAAGACTCATTTTTCTCCTCTGTTTTACCAAACCTAAGCATGACAGGTGCAAACACTTATTATCAAACTGTAGGATTTGTTCATACATTAATATTTTAAAACTTAATTTTGTTGTTTTGCAAGGAAAGAGAAGAAGGTTTAGTTTTTCTTGTCATTTCAAAATGCTAGTTTAAAAAACTACTTAAATATATATTTATGTTTAAAATCCAAGGAGACTATTGAAAATGTTCTGTAATGTGAAACAATACATAAGTGGTACTTTTATTTTTTTAACTTAGATGCAAGTTCACCAAATTAATTTTTTCCTGTTTCAGTCATTTAGTTAGAAAAGTTGAATAGTACAGAAAACAGCTTTTTCCAGGAGCAATTTGGCTTAACCTTTTCTATATCAATCACAGACTTACTGAAACTGTTCTTGTCTTTTGTTGTAGACTACAGTAAAAAACCAGACTTTTAAAATTCTGTACTGTGAATATGGCAATAAGAGAATATTTCTTGATATTTTACAAAATAAGTAGTGACATAATTGTTTGATAAATGTAGGGATCTCTTCATAAATATCTTTGAGTTTGGTTTAGATAAGGCTTTGAACATTAGGTCAATTTTGTTTTTCTTTTTAAAATGATGCTTTCTGTAATTAGCTAGGTATCATGGAATTCATCTATGTAAAGAGCGTCAATATTTAGGCCCTCAGGTACTGATTTAAGTAGCCCAGGTGACTAAAATAAAGTCTGGAGGTCATGTTTGCACTAACAAAGAGAAGCACAGATATACACCATATTGTTCTAAACCCAATGGGAGACCAGGTTGAAAAATACTACATTCTACATTTGTGTTGTTGGCACTGTGCAGAATCTCACTATGCACACACTTCAGTGTATGCATACCACAAAAGGAAATGACCTTTGCTGACAGGGAGTCACAACAAGAGAATGACTGATGCTCACCTTGCCACCAGCTCCTCTGGGTTGCTCCATTTTTCACAACGTACTTACTGGCAAAGCAAGCAGAAGGGTTTAGCTGTGAGCACTGGAGGAACTGAATTATCTCTCTCCTCCGCATATTGAACAGCAGAGGAAATTGTGGAAAGAGAACTATTCCTTAGACTCTATGTTGCCGGGCGCAGTGGCTCATGCCTGTAATCCCAGCACTTTGGGAGGCTGAGGTGTTCAGATCACCTGAGGTCAGGAGTTCGAAACCAGCCTGGCCAACGTTGCAAAATCCTGTCTTGACTAAATATACAAAAAATTAGGAGGGTGTGGGGGCAGGGCCCTGTAAACCCAGCTACTCAGGAGGCTGAGGCAGGAAAATCGCTTGAACCCAGAAGGTGGAGGTTGCAATGAGCTGGGATCATACCACTGCATTCCAGCCTGTATGATAGAGCAAGACTCTGTCTCAAAAAGGAAACAAAAAAAAAAAAAAGAAAGAAAGAAAAAAAAAACTTTATGTTGCCCTTTGTCGTTTCTCCACAGCTAAGTTAAGTTGCTCTAGTGAACCAGAACCTAGTGTCTTTTTGTATTTGTATTTTGTATTTGTGTGTATAGTGTTTTTTGGCATCTCCCAAATCAACTCATATGCTACCTATGGCAAAGAAGTTTGCTACTATATTGGCTGATTGAATCTAGGACACAGGAATTGCTAATGTTAAAATAGTGAATAGCATGCATTACTTGAAACATCATATATCCTGTAACTATCACAATGTCAAGAGGCATAGAAAAGTCATTTTGTTAAGTAGAATCATGTTTCATAAATATAGAGAATGCAGTCACTAGTTATCTTTAATTTTAATGAAAATCTTAGATATAGACTTATAACCAATGCTCCTTCTTAATTTCCAGAAAATTATTTTCAATGTATATGTTTTCAAACTAGCGCTTTCAGAGGCTTATATCGGAAATATGTACAGATCAGCTTGTTCTTTCTTGGATATTAACATTCACATTTGCTATTAAAGGCAGAACTGAACCGTTTCCAAGATACGAAGAGACTCCTTCAAGATTATTACCGGGGAATGGAAAGTAAAATCCCAATAGAGGACAATAAGAGATTTACTCAAATCCCTTTGGTCCAGCTGGATAATAAAGACAATTCTGAAAGCCAGCTTAGGTAAGGCAGGCTATTATATCACACTGTAATCGTTTTAAACATGAAGCTTTGTGATTTAAAATTAATTACCACTAATAAAAAATCACACTACTTTATCTGCAAATCCAAGGTCCAAAAAAGCTCTAATAACCAAACTTTTTTTTTTTATCGTTTGTGTGCCATTGACTTAAGACTACTAATATACATGATTCAATTTATAGTGAATATTTACTCATTTTGCTGCAGAGATAAAATGCGTTTTATGATGGAGTCATCCCACAGACTCTGCAGGTGGTATTCAGGAATATATGGAACACACAAATTCTGAATTCTGAAACACTTTTGGCCCCAACGGTTTCTGGTAAGAAATTATGAACCTTGGCCAGGCGCGGTGGCTCACGCCTGTAATCCCAGCACTTTGGGAGGCCGAGGCAGGGGATCACGAGGTCAGGAAATCGAGACCATCCTGGCTAACACGGTGAAACCCCGTCTCTACTAAAAATACAAAAAGCATTAGCTGGGCGTGGTGGCAGGCACCTGTAGTCCCAGCTATTCAGGAGGCTGAGAATGGTGTGAACCCGGGAGGCCGAGGTTGCAGTGAGCCGAGATCGCGCCACAGCACTCTAGCCTGGGCGACAGAGCGAGATTCCAATCTCAAAAAAAAAAAAAAGAGAAAGAAAGAAATTATGAACATCTAACACTTTTATGAAAGGACCAAAGCAGGTGTGTGAGTGTGTGTGTGTGTACATATTGTATTATATAAATGAAAATGGAAGGTGTTTTGAGTCTTTTACAGGTAAAGATATTGAGAAACAGTAAAGTCTCAGTAGTATGTGATAATGACCTTATGAGAGTGACTGAAAGACCTATTAATAGTCTAACATCAGATTTCTGCCAGCAAAAAAATAAACTTGGTGGTAGGATAGAAGAAAAATTTTATTTTCTGCCAAGCAAATCCTGTGCAATGTAAAAGTCTGTAAGTCATTGTTTTTGTACATCCAGTGGGTAGGGGCAAGGGAAAGGCAAGATCCCCAACTCTGAGAAGTTCTGAACAAATAGAAAAATGTCTTCTAGAAATGGGAGGTAGGAGTGGTGGTGATTCCTGTGGCATGGTTTCCAGCTATAAAAAATTAAGAGAGCTTTTAAAATTAAAGCAATTAAAAAATAGAAATCAAAATCCTTAAAAATTAAATGAATTTTAATTTGAACTAAATCAATAAAATACAGTGAAGAATTAAAACAATCCTTTTAAATGATCAGTAGGCAGGTGATAAACAAAAAACATTATATCACATATGAGGAGGGGAAAAAGAAAGTCAGATTTAAAAAAATAATATAAAGTCACTGAAAGTTAAATGTAAATCTCCAAGGGGATGAGCTATATATTTTATGTTGAAGGCAGTGTACCATATTTTTACAAGTTTGCTCAGTCAATGCAGGTGTCAGGAGTTGCACAAACTAAACGCAGAATAATGAATATATTTTGAAGTAAGACAGATCTGGTTTGAATCCTAGTTCTGTTAATCATTGTATGTAAATAAATTAAGACAATTTATTTGTTGTCAAGTCACTCCATCTCTCTTAACCCTCAGTTTCCTTATCTATAAAGAAGGGATGTTGTGAAGATTACGAAAAATAAAATCTACAAAGCATTTAGTACCATCTCGTGGTATCAGAAGATGAGACTGAGTCCCAATAACTCTCGATAAATATTGATTATTACCTATTGTATCTTCCTGATTTGTTTCTTTTACCCTCCCTTGTTCCAAAAAGAATTTGAGATGGCCTGAACACAATATTTTATGCAGTGATCCAAAGCCCATTTCTGTTCTCTCCTGGCTTTTTCCATTTACTCCCATCACATCCCTGTCAGGCCCATGTGTACACAAGAATATCTAAGAGTAAAAATGTGCCCCCTCTTTTTGACACAAATAGAAGGAAAATATTCAGCAAGATGCTGAAAGAGAACTTTGAGATTAAAAACAATTTTAAAAAATCCAAAAGCAATATAAACCACTAGAACCATCAAAAGAGGCCAAATGTCTATGTCTAGAGTGGCAGTACATTCTGTTCTCAGCACACGATAGCAAGTTAGGCATAATGGGTAAGCTGTTGATGTTGGGTAGTAGAATGAAACTGGCAAAAGAACAGCCAGTTCTTATTTCCTGTGAATAACTCTGCACCAATCTCAGCCTCAAATCACAGCTTTGGGTACCTACTGGAACTATCAGTCAATCAATATATCAACCAATTAACCTATCAACCTGTCATATATAAAGGAAAACAAGAACAATGTTAAAAATTTTCATATATTTTGTCTGCTTTATTCCTCCCAACAACCATATAGTAATAATAATATTAGTAGTAGTATCATAAGATTATTCACAATGATAGTAATAACTCTTAGTTAATAATGAATGCTTGTAATAATTATCGTATTTGTATTATTCCAAGAGGAACTGAACTTGATAAAGTCAAATGACATGCTCAAGTTTATACCTACTAATAGTGAGAGAGCTACCTCAATCAGAGTATTTTCCAGTAAATAAATTCTAAATGCAAATTCTTATTCTAAGTTATATACCACCAGTTCTGTCGTCCAAAGTAAGATGTTGAAAAATACATGTTGTACTGTATTAAACATCTCGAGATGATCACATAAGCCTTACCCTAACTTTTTGAGCACATGAATCACAGTCAAACTGGAGTGACAGTGATTTAGCCTTATTTGATTTTTAAAATGTAATTTAATTTGGGGGTAGATGAGTAGCAGATCCTCAATACACTGCCTTTTTAGGCATGGTAGACTGTGACTGTGATGCTGTACCAGTGATTCATTTTTCTGAATCACTGCTCTGTTCTCCAGCAACTTGAGTCTACAAAACCAAATGCTTGTTCCTAGATTACTGATTCTGACTCTCTTCCTCTAGTTTCAACAAAGGCATCCTTGGAGCTGTTCTCTTCTCATTTCTTCCCCAAGCTGATAGCCCTTTGCTCTTTCTGTTACTAAAGGGAGATCTCAGTCACAATAAGCATTCTACCTTGTAGATCTTTCCCTGCTTCTGTTAACCTTTGAGATCCTGGGATCCTTCTGGGATAAGATATTCCCAGAGGCAGCTCAAAAATTTCTTCACAGGAGCAGCAATAAGGGAAGAGGGAGGGAGAGCTTAACTTTGTGTCCCCACAGCACTTTATAAAACAAAGAAAAAACCTTTGTGGGGATGGTGCTGCAGGCTGCCCCACCTACCATCAAAACTTAGCTGCCTCTGTGCAGTAGCCCCTTTCAGACCTCACATGACTATTAGTCATGTGCTACTGTCAGAGGAGATCAGGTGTGTTCAATGTGGTATGGCCATGGACAGTCATGTCCTACCTTCAGTTGTGCCCTCCGGGATGCCAAATGATACTTGTCACCTTGGAAAAGTGATGCCCAGTTTTGTTTGGTTTGCTTTTTCATGACTGACTTTTTAATTTATCCTTCATGGGAAGTGTATGCTCTGGAACAAATTACAAAGTCACATTTTTTAATAATGGCTATTGTCTAATCCTCTGCTTTATAATTACTGAGAATTAAGTCTCAAAATTATGTTTTTTGTTGTTGTTTGCTTTGAGTCTCTTCTTATTAACAAGACATTCTAGACCACAAAAATTTGAATGCAGACTTTTGTAATCTTTTCTCCATTAAAATAATTCTTCCAGGAAAACTTTGAAAATTGAAATTAAACCAAGAGAGTAAAATTTACAAAGTAACATGGTCACAAAAACAGAATTCTGTTAAGCAAAATTTTTATATCCCTTTTGCTTGTTTGTTTCTCAAAGAATTCCTCTATTTCCTCGAATATCCATTTCTCTGGAAACAGTTACGCCCAAACCAAAAACAAAATCAATACTGAAGGGCAAGATGGATAACTCCCTAGAAAACGTTGAGTCCAACTTTGAGGCTGATGAAAAGTTGGTCATGGACACCTGGCAACAGGCTTCTTTAGCAGTATCTCACATGGTAAGCAATGTTCGTTGTATTTCCTGTTAGTAATACACATTCATTGAATACCAAGGTTGGTAATATGCTATGAGTAGAAAATTTACACAATGTTCTCAAGCACTGTAGAAAGTTGTACCTTCAAAACATTTTTTTTTTCCTGAAAGAAATAGAGAAATGTGATTTGGCCAATAAATTTTTGAGATCATGAAACAAATGAACAAACACTTAGGTTATTTTCTGTGCTGGACTCCGGTTCCAAGTGCAGGGCCTAAAGGCATTCAGGAAATGTTAATGAGGCGGATCAAGTGTAAGAAAATCAAGACGGAATGGGTCTGGGACCAAGCGGAAGTCACACCCCTGCTTGCAGGGGCACATGCAATTGCCATTTAAAAATGAGGTCTGGCATAGTCAGATTTTCCAATTTTCCAAGAAAAACCAGGCATTCAGATTTTTATGTAAAACTACTAATTTTAACATGTAAGAAATGAAAGAAAATTTTTTTTTAAATATTCTGCAGAGCCAAGCAAATCACACATCTGACCTATAGGGCTCTAGCTGGCAACCCCTCTGCTAGGCATTTTTCCTAAGTCACCTGTGGGGTAAGTATTGTTATTATCCAATTTACGGTGGGGAATTAAGGTTCAGAAAGGCTAAGAAACTTGTCCAAATTCTCCTAGCAGGTAAATATCAAAATGAAATTTGAACCTAGGTCTATATGACTTCAAAGCTTATATCATTTCTACCCAAATCAAAAGGGAAAGGGGAGGCATACATGTAACTTTAATCCAAGCAGAAGGTCCACACCATGAAGAAGATACACACGGAGTTTAACTCAGATGATCAATTGCTATTCCCTCATCTACCGGGTCCTGGGTATACCAAGATGTCTTCTCTTTTCACAACATGCCAAGCCTTCTTTGAGTTTCCATGAAATATCTCATTCAAACAGAAAGCAGCATCAACTTTCCAAAAGACTTTGTGAAAGAGGCAGAAGAGGACCTTGCATCGCACATCTCACAGCAAACAAAATTTCCTACTGGGCACTTTCCAAGTCCCTTCTTGGCCTGTCTGCCTTCAGGCTTCTTTTTCTCTGTCCTTCTCATGCAAGCAGACTCAGTGTTTCCTTTCTTCCTCCCTCTCTTTCTTTTGTTCTTTTTTCCCTCTCAGAAGCAATAATAACTCCTCTCATTGTTTTGCATGACTTAATGAACCCAGCTAAAGTAAATACTCGTGGCACCACTACCTGGGGAGAAATAGAATAAAGGGTGCAGCTACCTAGTCATACTTTGCTTCTTCCCATTCCTAACGCACTTCATATTCTCTAAAGGGGACCACCATATTGCCTTTTTAGGAATCATTTCCTTGATGTTCTTAAAAGTTTTATTACCAAAGTCTATAGCTCTAAACACTGATGTGTAGCTTTCCTTGCTTTTGAGCTTTAGATAAATGGACTCATATCTTTTGTCTTTTTTGTGTCTTTTTTTGCTCAAGTTTCTTTGTGAGATTCATCTTATATTGTTCTTTTTTTGTTGCTGTATTGTGTTTCATTATATTAATGTATCACAATTTATTTAACCAGTGTGCTTTTGATATACCTTTGAGTTTTCAATTTGGTGTTGGTATGGATACTATGAATGTTTGACCATGTCTACTGGTACCCATGGGCATAGATAACTGTTGGGTATACATCTGGCAATATGTGCTATCTTCAAAGTTAGTAGACAATACTATACATAATACCTCAGTTTTCATAGGTAGTGCTAAACCCTTTCACCGTTTCACTGAACTATCATCTTTGTTATACATTAGATGACCACTTATGTGTAAGTCTGTTGCATTGCTCCAATTGTCTATCCTTATGCCAACACCACACTGATATCATACCATTTATTTGTTACCTGGCTGAGCAAATCTTCCCATCTTGTCATCTGCCAAGAACATTTTGGATTTTCATAACTTTTTGCCTTTCCATGTTAATTTTCAAATCAGCTCATCAAGATTCACAAAAATGTTGGCTGCTGATTTTTAGGGCAGTATTTATCAGATTATGAGCATTCCTTTTCATACCCTGTTTACTCTGAGAGGTTTTTTCATGAATTGTATTTTCAAATGCTTTTTCTGCCTTTATTATATACTTTTTTCTACATTTTCTGTTAATGTGAAAAATCACACTGACCAATTTTCTAATGTTAAACTTATATCACATTCCTAGAATAAGTCCAACATTTTAGTGAGACATCATGTTTCTTACATATGGGTGGATTTGTTTTGTTAATACTTTGTTTAGAATTTTAGTCTTTGAGTAAGACAGTGAAAGTGAGAGAGTTCTGTAATTTTCCTTTCTCATGCTATCTTTGATGGCTTGGAGCATCCAGATAATACTAGCTTCATAAATCAAGCCTGGATATGTTTCCTCTTATACTTTGGAAAATTTTATCGAAGTTAGGATTATTTCTTCTTGAAATGCTTGGTAACATTCACTAAGAGGCCATCTAGAACTAAAGTTTTATAGGAGTTTGTAGCAGGAGTTTTTGTTGCCCTCCTCCCACCCAGGAATTCATTATCTTTAATAGATTATGCAATGCTTTCTGGTTTTGTTTCTTCTTAGAAAAAACTTGAGTTGATTTTGGTAAATATTATTTTGCTAAGAATTTTTCTATTTCTAAATGTTTAAATTTATGTGTATGAAGTTATTTAAAGTGGCCTACATTTGTGTTAATATTTGCAGTGTCTATATGATGTCCACTTTGTCACTTCTGATGTTTATTATTTGTGCTTTTCCTCTTTTTTTAAATCAGCTTAGCCAGATATTTATCAATTATAACAGGCTTTCCAATAACTGACTGTTAACTTCATTCATTTATTTTACTGTGTGTGTTTTTTCTTTTCTTAATATCATTTTTTTCTCCTGCTATTTTCTTTGGGTTTACTTTTCCATTCTTTCCCTAGGGATTTGAGATAGATCACAGTTTATTAGTATCCAGTCTTTTTTTCTAATACACACATTTGCTACTCTAAAGTTTCCTCTATGACCACTTTAGCTTCATCTCAAAGCTTCTAATAAGTTACTTTTATCATCGAATTCAAAGCATTTTAGAAATATATTTTTAATTTTCAAAATAATATGTTGTTTTCTGGCTTGATTACATCTTCTTTGTGGAACATATTCTTATAAAAATTTTTGAAGTTGCCTTATGGTCATTTTTTGAAACGTTATGTGTGTACTTGAAATATATTCATTTAAGTGTTTGGTATACATATTGTACCTTATTGTTTATCTATAAATATTTTGATATATTGATTATTTTATTATGTATTTATACATATAGATTATATATCATTGTTCAAATCTTACTTTTCTCATTTTATTTGTTTTCTCCTTTGAATTATCAAGAGAGTTTTAATAAGATCATCTGTAATTTGGTCAATTTGCTTTATGTATATTTGAGAATGAAATTGGGAAAATATAGATTTTAAATTGTTAAATCTTTCTGGTGAATTGAACCTTTTGTTATTATGAAGTAATCTTCTGTATATATAGTGCCTTTGTTTTGTAAATTATACTTTTAGATATTGTTTATATGTCATATCTTTTCATCCTTTCATTTTCATCTTCTCTGTGTCTTTTCTGCTTTTATTCCCCTCTGTAAGTTTGGTCATCATGTATTCTGTTACTAGTCTCTTAGCAGTTACCCTAGGAATTACACCATGAATTAGTGGCTCCACAAAGTGTATTATTTAGTCAATAATTCATGGTGTTATTCCTAGGGTAGCCACTAAGTGATTTAGTGTGTGCTATTTCCAAGCTAACGTGGGGGAAAGATGAAATTTAAAATATTTAATCCAAAAGAAGCAAAGAAAAGAGGGCAGAAAAAATATTCAGGACAAGCAATACAAATAGAAAGTACAGAGAAGATGGTAGATTTATAGCCCAAATATATCTATGACTACATTAAATTTAAATAGGAAAAATGAACTAGATGAAAGAAAATAAGTATTAGATTTTTTAAAAATGGGATATGATGCGTATAAGGATACTAAAATGGTTTTTCATTATTGACCTAAGAATGGGTTAGTGTGATGATCTCCACTTGCCATCATAGAATCTCACACCCTTGACCTTCTTTTGGTCTTCAGCGTTAGTTTCTACCTTGATTCCTGACCAGTTAATTGTCTCTTTCCAGAAGTCCTAGGCATCTGTGATTGTGTGCTTTCTATTCTCGTAGCAGTTATTGTCTTTCCCACTCATTTGGCTCTTAGTATCTAGGTTTTTGTTGTTGTTTTGTAATTTGTATCTTGTTAGTTTTAGTCTGAATACTTAACTAGATTCTAAAACTTTTTGTATACCTTGGACTTAGCATAATGCCCACATCAAACATAATATAATAATAAGCCCTCAATATAGTCTTGAGGTGCCGCTGCTGCTATGCTGATGATGCTGATGTCAATATTAGCGATGACGTTAGTGACAATAATGATCATAGCAGAGACCACAACAAGTACCAAGCACCAGAAAGTGGGAAACCAGACGTAGAAGCTCTAGAAAAAAATGAGTTATTCTTATTGTTAAATGAGCAGCATAGACATAATCTACAAGTCTTATGAATCTCATTAAAATTACCTGGGAAAATGACACTTAAAAATAGTACATTCTTAGAAAGGGAGGGTCACATAGCACAAAAAACATTGGCTATGCCTCTTGATTAAGCTGATACAATTTTAGGAAAATCACTTAACTTCTCTAATTCTTTAGTGCTGTGTCTGTGATATTGGAGATAGTCTATCTTTCCTTTATTGAATGGCTGAAAAAAATCCAACGAAATGCTGTATGTAAAGTGTTTTAGAAACTGTACATTTTAACTTATCATTATGTTAAGAAATGTATTCAAAATTGTACCCTTTTCCTTGTGGACTTTTAAAAATCTTATAGAAAGCATAGGAAAATGGACTGCTTAGTGGTTAATATTACTAACAATTATATTTGAATCCTGCTTGACTTTGATGTCACACAATCTTAAGGGAACTTTGAATTTCAAATGAAACAGGTGTGATTCACTAAACTGTTGTGGGGCAAACAGCACCAGCTGAGATTAGTGCAACTAAAAATGAGAGCACTTTAACATAGGCATTTTTCTACACAGCAGTTTTACCAGGAGCTATCCATTTAGTAGACTGTGTTAATTTTTGGCAAAACTTTCTTCTAATTAGCAGATATGCAGTGATTTCAAAGAAACAAGTCATGTTTTTAACGCCCACAATGTCAAGGCATTATGTCTAAAGTTCTCTCCAGTGTTATAAGCTAGATTGCTGAATGAACTGTGACTTATGTTAATTTCTGATAGCAACCCAGAGGTCTTTGAGGAAAGTGGACCAGAAAAATTCAGACAATTATGATGCATAATTATGCAGGTAATTGTGATAATTATCATCATCACAAAGTTGTTTACAAAGGAGAAAAATCCAATTTTGAAGAAAATTGCTAACTTACAGTGCTTTGCAGGAACCGATTAAAAATTTAATTGCGTGCAATTTAGGGGAGGAATTTTAGCAAGTCTGCTTTCCGCTTTACTAAGAACTTGCAAGTACAGTATCTGGTACTCATTTTTGTCAAAAGGGCATCTGGTTTTAAAAAAAAAAAAGGAAAAAGCAAAGGCAGAAAGAAAGAAAAAGACAAAAAAAAACACACACACACAAAGAAATCTGCTTGCTCTCTGAAATCTTTCTGTATTCCTCCAAGATTCTGTTGATATTGAAGAAGTTGAGGGTGCATTCTGTGGAATATGATTCTTTTGAAAGAAAGTCCATTGATTATTAAGGATCTACTGGGCATCCCCTTTGAGCACAGCACATATACTCAAAGCTATGAAGAATACAAAGAAGTAGGACTGGCTTAGTTCTGGGAAGCATGAGGCCCTTTGGAGGGTGGGGCAAGATTTAACACTCATAGAACACTTGGGAACAGTTACATGCTGCCATGGGGTATGAAGTGTGGCAGAATTTTGGAGAAGGCAGGAACTGGCTAGTCTATCTCACCCACAAAACTGCAATAGTCTTTGAGGGTAGAGATTATGCCTTATTCATTTTTCTATTCACCTCCATTAATCTTTCTCTTTGTCCTCTCATCCCCTCACCCCATTCTCCCCAGGAATTATAAATAAATAAGCCCTCAATAGCCCCTATTTTTCACCAATTGCTTTTTTAATTGAGATTTTAGAGTTTTAAACCCTATGTTGCTACTGCCTCCACAATGTGTGTGTGTGCGTGTGTGTGTGTGTACGTGTGTGTGTGTGCACGCGTGTGTGTTGTTTCTACCTTTGGGATTCTTTCCTGGGTTCTCATTTCTTGGGGCAACACTCATAAACAACCTTCACCTCCCAGGGGCAGTTGAACTTATTGCCAAATGACCAGTATTTCTAACTACAATTACAACCCCAGTGACACAAGCCTCAAGACAAGAGTGTACATATATATAATCTTAATTTACAAATAATAATTGCATATATTTGTAAAGTACAGTGTGAAGTTTTGATGTCTGTATACATTATGGGATGATTGAATCAAGCTAATTACCATATCTATTACCTCACTTATTATTTTTGTGGTTAGAACATTGAAAATTTGCTCTTTTAGCAATTTTGAAAAATACAATACATTATTATTAACTGTAGTCACCGTGCTGGGCAATACATCACCAGAGCTTATTCCTTTTATCTAACTGAAACTTAGTACCTTTGACCAACATCTCGCTTTCCCTGTCCCACCTACTCACCCACCCCAGCCCCTGGTAACCACTCTTCTACTTTCTACTTCTATGCTTTGACTTTTTAAGATTCTACAAATAAGTGAGATCACGCAGTATTTGCCTTTCTGTGCCTGGCTTATTTTGCTTAGCATAATGTCCTCCGGGTTCATCTGTGCTGTCATGAGACAAGGTTTTTCTGCTGCCTGAAGTGCAGAGCCAGCCACAGAGGAGGGGTGGAGGGATACCTGCGGTTCCTGACCCCATGGGTGGGCAAGGACAGAGCTTCTCCATTCAATACTTAGAATGAGGTGACAGAACAACTAATCTCAAGCCAGGACACTTGTGAGAATGAAAGGAGGCGCTTGGTGGAATGGAGAGAAGCTGAAAGTCAGCCCAGCGGAGGAAGCTAAGAACCTTGGGGTTAGCCTGTGGAATGGGTCAACCTCACAAATACTGAGTCTTTTGGGGGTGATATTTAGTGCTTAAGTAAAATAGAAGCCCAGGATTCAACTATCCATGACCCAATTAACACAGGGCATGCAGTCCCAAAAACTGGCTGTTGCCAAGGGTGATGAATATATATAGGTAGATACCACAAATATACACCCAGAACATAAACAAATACGCTTCTGCAGTATTAAAATTGTATGAATGCAAATAAAAGAAAAATATGTAAACAAACAAACAAACAAACAAAAAACTCTGTAGGAGATCAGTTATCAAAAAAGGTTAAGAAACAATGATACAGGGAAATACCCCGGATTGGAAGTCGAGAGATTGAAGGAACTGAGAAGTATAAATGTGTGTCTGAGATTTAAAAGAAAGGAATTTTTGCCTGACCATGGAGTTGTGACACTCTGGAGGTGGCAGTGAGGAAACATAAGGATGATTTGCAGGTGGGGCTTGAGAAAGTGAGCAGCCTCCACACAGATGGTGGCAGGGAAGCCGCATCTTGGGACAGGGCCAGGTTTCCGCTTAAGTAAAACATGGTGGGGTGTGTTTTGTAAAGTTCGAGTACATGGGCTCAATTGTTTACAGTGGATTAAGGTTTCAACAGAATTTATGACTACATCCAAATGGTTACCATATTTATAAATGCTACATTAACTGAAATAGTGCTGTTATGCAACCAGGTGGCTGCAGAAATTCATCAGAGGCTCATGGAAGAAGAAAAAGAAAACCAGCCAGCAGACCCCAAAGAAAAATCTCCTCAGATGGGTGCAAATAAAAAAGTCAAAAAGGAGCCACCCAAGAAAAAACAGGAAGACAAAAAACTCAAAGGTATTTATGCTTTTAGCACTCAGAACTCTGGAAGCCTAAACCTCTCCTTGGTAGAAAACAAGCATTTAACTAGACATGTTATTAGCCTCTAAGCCACTAAAATACTACTCATTAGGTTTAAACTAGAGACCCAGGCTTCTGTGATTTGCGATGTTAGTGGCAAATCATATTGCATACCAAGCCCACCTAACTTGTTTAACCAAATAGTCAGATGTACCAAGGGTAAAATAAACCTCAAAGACAGTTTCGAAATGTTAAAAGAACTTCCAGGATGGTACCATGCCATCTGAAAAGTCTGTGAAGAAAGGCTAACACTGCAGTAACAAAGAGAAGTTTAAAAGCTATGTTTTTAAAAGCTATGTGTGTGTTTCAGGGGCAAGTCCTTTTCTCCTGGAGGCCTCCTGCCTAAATCTCTGCCTCAGTTGCATGAGGAAAAACAGAGTTGAGAAAATACATCTTGAAAGAGATCCCTAATTAACCTTAGGAATGAATAGCTTTGGCATCAACATTACCCTCCCACTCTGAAGTGGAATCCTAGGAAGCAAATGAACAGAACTCACTTCACTCATAGATTGACCATGATATGTTTATTATACACCTGCTATATGAAATGCTCTAGATGGATGCCAAGAACACAATAGTAAATTAAAAATAAAACCAAAAATCACAACCACAGTCCCTGCCCTAACCCAGCTGTAGTCTTGCAGTAAAGACATGTGACTATTGTTCTTTGATAGGGGAGGTACAAGTACCTTAAGAACAAGGTCTCCCCACTCCGTCCTAGGGTATATAAGACGCTTCTTAGATAGAGAACATTCAAGCAGCCAGGAATGGGAGTTAAAGGAAAGCACTGAGGATGGAGGAAGGAGTGAGTCAGTGGCACTTGAAGGAAAGGGAAGAGTATTACCTTGATAAAGAACACATCGCTTAAGTCCATCTCAAGTGGCAGGAATAAGGGAAGTGCTTCTGTTAACTTTAATGGAATAACTGTTGGGGTCTGATCCCTTAATTTTACAGATGATAAAACAGAAATCTAGAGAGATTAATCTCTCCTTCATCTGTAACTTACATATACATCTATTATTGCAACATATTACAATTTCTTTGTTTACAGTATGTCTTCTTTACAAGATTTGACCCCTTCGAGGTCAGACCCTCAAAGAAAGATTAGTTGAACTGAAAATAGAGCTATGTAAATGAACCCTGCAACTAGAATCATATTGCCATAGCCCATAGGTAAATCCTTTGATAAGTACTGACAAATTTATATTTTCTAATTATCTTATATAATCACTGACGTACTTATAGTTAAGTTGTAATTAAAATATAATTAAATTAGCCAGGAGCAGTGCCTCACACCTGTAATCCTGCACTTTGGGAGGCCAAGGCAGGTGGATTGCTTGAGCCCAGGAGTTTGAGATCAGCCTGAGCAACATGACAAAACTCTGTCTTTACAAAAAAATACAATAAAATAGCTGGGTGTGGTGGCACACTTCTGTAGTCCCAGCTACTAGGGAGGCTGAGGTGGAAAGATTGCCTGAGCTTGGGAGGTCGAGGCTGCAGTGAACCATGAGCATGCCACTGCACTCCAGCCTGGGTGACAGAGCAAGACTGTTTCAAAAGATAATAATGATATTTAAATAGATTCTAGATGCTTGACTATCACCCACATTTCACTCACATCTTCTTGAGGTTATTCTCGTATCTTCTTTTTCTGGTGAAGATCTAGGAAATACTTTGCTAACGGAAGTTATCCTTTATGGAGTGGTAATTCTGCAGGTGTCTAATGGGGTCAGCACTATATTGGGATTTGCTAATTTCTGTCCCCAAACTCTGGATTTCACTATGTTTAGAAACTGTAACCATCTCTGCACTTGCTACATACCTTATTTTTTAATTATACTACACAAATCGGGTGCTTTTATATGAGTCCAGCCCAGGAACCATACAGAGAATTCTCAAGGAAAAATTCAGTATTTCATCACACACACTGGGAGGACCAAGGTTTCATTGTTTCCAAATCACTAGAGGTTTATAGCTTAACAAATTTTGCTTTGTGCTCATTCTGTGCAAATAGTATGTGCATACCTTTGTATTTTGTTAGTTTACTCAGCATGTTTCATTGCCCTTTCAGGTAAATCACCACCTATTGCAGAAGCAACTCCTGTCATAGTAACAACAGAGGAAATTGCTGAAATCGAAAGGAAAAATGAACTGAGGCTCAAAATAAAAGAAGAACACCTTGCTGCCTTGCAATTTGAAGGTAGCAATTGAAACGACTAAGATGATGCTGTTCAGTAGAAAGGAGACCAGTAGCCAAAGAGCCCATAACTGACTCATCAACTGCCTCAGACTATGTCTATGAGAACATACAGCAAAGAGGTTGAAAAGTACAATATTCAGTTGACTGATTTTGTTTGACCACACAAGGACTAGATTTGAGTGTTGCATGAGTCAGATGTTTTGACATCACCTAATCAGTCTTAACTGATGGCAGTATCTCAAAAAGAATCAAAAAGAATTTGGGAATGGGTTGGAAAAAGCAATAGCAGTAATTAAGATCTCATAAAACAGAAAGAAAAGAAAATGTTGAAAGTTGGTATGATTTTATAGGTTTAGGTAGGGACTACCTAAAGTAAGTGGTTTTATATTACAGTAAGAATACTTTAGGTCCCTCATTAGGAAAATAAATTCTAACTAAAGGCTAACAGGCCCTGAAAGTGAGTTCTTGGGAACAAAGGCCATAGAAGAGCCAGTCAAAAATCTGTTATGTTCAAGGGTGTTCTTCTCTATGAAAGCAATGACTCCACAAAACATTTTCCTTATGGCTCTCCTAATTGTCTTGTAATGTAATTCTAAATGAAATCTGAAAAGATCAGGAAACTGAGCAAACCTATCCTAAGGGGAAAAAACATGGTCAATATACAAGATGACAAAACCACAAAAATGTGGCATGGGGTATGCCGAGAGACCTATAACTACTCAGTGACTATTAACTACTAAGGATGCTTTCCATCCCTTGTTTCTCTTGTTTTCTCTCCCCTGTCTTCCCCATCTTACTACCACCAACTTCTGTAACTCCAACAATAAAATCTGAAGTCAGTTGAACACAGGGAGATTGTGACATCAGGCAAGTCCAGGACAGATGCATCTCCCCTATTGCCTGCCCTGCATCTGATTTCAGTGGTTTTCAGTATACTTCATCTTTCAGTTCATTCCATACATGATCCTTAGTGTAGCAAAATTCATTTATTCATATAACAAATGATTATTGACTTTTCAGTCTGTACCAAGTCCTGTGATAGTTGCTGGAGACACATACTTGTATGTACGAACATAAACAAAAAATAAAACTCAGTCTCAAGGAAGAGAAATGCAATCACTATTGCATGTTTACCTGTTGACAGCTGGGCCTGTAGTCACAGCTACTGAAGAGATTGAGGTGAAGGATCGATTGTGTTTGAATCGAGCCTGGGCAACATAGTGAGATCCTGTCTCAAAAAAAAAAAAAAAAAATGTGATATTGGTGGTGGGCATATGGGGCAAAGGGGACATGAGGGGAGTTCCTGACTTACCCGAGGAACTAATTCTTGAGCTGAAGTGGAAGACTATGGAGAAGTTTTTCCAGGGGAAAAACTGGCTTGAGAATGAAGAGAAGTATTGCATGCCATGGCAGAGAGAGGGCTAAGAGGGATATCAGCTTGTGGGTAGCTTAGGAGCATGAGTCATGTTCTGGGAAGGAGCTACTTGGGAGATGGAGAGGCTAGACCATGGAGGGTTCTTTAGGCCCTGCCAAGAATGTTTGATTCTTCCCTGGTGGCAGCTGGGAGCTAGTGAAAAATTGTGAGCAGAAAAGTGATTATGATCACATCTGCAGGTGAGACAAATTACTCTGGATAGTGTGGAGGTGGATTTGGATTTGAGGTGGGGGAAGAAAGTTAGAAAAAGTAGGATTGAGGCTATTGCAACAGTTTAAGTGAGAGATAATCAGCACCCAAACTAGGCAGTGACAATGGAAAAAGCCAAAAAGAGAAACTGGAAAAATTTTGGAGATAAAATCCACCAAACAAATTATGTGCTAGGATCAGTAATGGGCCTGGGAGCACATGGAGTTTGCCCTGCTTTTAGTGGCGCTGAGAAATACAATGGCAATGCCACTCCAGGTTCTAAAGTAGGGAGATAAGCAAGAGACTTTGTCCCCCACTCCCTTTTCAAAATTCAGAAATTACCTATGTGTGTTCTCACATTTCATTTGTCAAAGAGTAGACTGCTATAAAGTGCAATAGATAAAAAGCTCAATTATAGTTTTGGTTCAGATAATTTATTAAATGACTCTACCACATACTATATTTTACTTCTCAGTGAGATGGATATTATCTTACCTATTCTGGTATGTTAAATGTGCACCTAAAGCTTCAAAAATTGAAGCATGAATGGTTTCAAAGTGAATCTGTTCATTAGTAAATGAGTGCACTGCAATATGTTAAAACATTCTTATTTCTCTTTGCAAATAGAAACAGCCACACAGTTTCGACTTGAACTGATAAAGACAAAAGCATTGGCTCTTCTTGAAGATTTAGTAACAAAGGTGGTTGATGTATATAAACTCATGGAAAAATGGCTTGGTGAGAGATATTTGAATGAAATGGCCAGGTAAAGTACCACATGACTTTCTGAAAATATGTTTTGTGTATTCTAAGTACCAAAATTGATGAAGATTATTAAGGTATTTACAAATTTAAATTACAATTACAAATATAAATTTTGACCTTTTAGGAAATCACGTGTATAAACAGACAACATGAGCCTTACTATTATGTTTGTATTAACTCTTTTCTAACAGTAAATCATGCATCAAAGGGTTCTATTGCTATATTTAACTTTGCACAGTATTGATAAGTTTAGCTGTCATACTGATCAATACGAACCTTATTTTACAAGGTAAGATTATAGTTAATTTAAAAATAGTTTTCAGAAGTAAAATAATGCTCCATACTTTTCTAATGGTAGATTTATTATTAGTCAGAGCCAATTAAGGGGAGATTAAAAAGTCATTCACTGGAATGTTTTACCAACCAGACTTATTCTCTTTTAAGACCAACCCAAGTTTTACTTTTCTGTTGAGTTCCGAAGACTTCCCAGACTTCCATTGCTACTGAGGGGCAATGACTCCCATCCTGTTAGTTCACCCCTAAAAGGTGCAAAAAGGTAGCTCAGCAGAATGAGTCATGATTGTCCAGACCAGGAGCTCCATCTTGTCCACAAATTCGAAGCATGGTTGATGGCTCTGGGCCTCATTGGCTTCATCTATACAAGCAAATACTCCAGCCAGCTATTTCAGAAGTTTACACTAGATCTAGATTCCAAGATGCACTACAGTTTACAATAAACATTTACTGAAAACTTAAAAGTTGCTACACAAAGAGTATTCTAAAGGCAAGTATTCTTAGAAGCAACAATTGTCATGTAAAAAGAAGCTGTTATGGTTTGTTTTCTCTGGTCCTTGTCTCATAGTGAAGTTCTTCTGTAAAGTCTTCAGCCTAGTTGTTTAGAACTGCTGCTCCATAGTAAAACAAACAAACAAACATTAAACAGAATAAAAAATGCAAACACAAGCATAAGTAAGTAAGTTTACTGCAGTAATACTTAAAATCATTTTGCTACTGGATAACCAAGTCAGTTACTCGTCAGCATCACACGGCAGTAATATTCAGTTCTGTTCTCTGCCTACTATTTTCAAATGAAAGTGTATCGTCTTCATTTTGGGGATCCATGACTCCCATCCATGTGGCCATCCAGTGTAAATGCATATTAGTTTTAGCAAATGTACTCATATTTCTCAGATTTATATTGTATATGTCTTTGCTCTGTGAATATACATATGCTGTCATGAACCGTGGTCCAAGAAGTTAAAACCTAGAAATATGATACAAATAAATAAAAAAATAGTTGGCAGATCCCTTTGACCTTCAAATCCTGTTTTCATTTTCCGGGCACTTTTTTCCTTCCATTGTTAAGATTACTCCTAGTAACCTTCCACTAGGTGGCGCGCATCTGTTTTAGTATCCTGATTCCCAATAAAGGTACTGTTATTCTATTAGTCTTGTTTTACAGAGTATCCTACAGGGTTATGGTTGGGTCTCAATCCACATTTGGAGTCCCTCCTCACTCACGTAAACTCAGCAGCTATCCAGTGACCTTCTCCTCTGTCCCCGGGCACGCAACCACCCTAAAGCATAAACTAATTGACTAACCTGTATTACGTGGACACTCACAGACAACGTTCTGGAGTTGAATTCGAGTATCTTTTGAAAGATAGCAACTAAAACTACTTTTTAAATTTTTAGTTGTATGTTCAGTATATGGTATATTTGGTGCTTATGAATTACATAAAATCAGATTAAATATGCATTTTTCTGTGATGCTCACTTTCATTGTAATATATAAACAAGATCTTGTCTTGGGTACAGCGATAATGCACTTACTCATGTATGAAACCTCTCTAGCCTTTAAAACGACTTTTAAAATGTCATTAACTATACCCGTAGTACAGTTTAAATCCTTGCCGTATGTGAGTTCACATTAATAGCCATACGATAGGGAGTGTTGTGTGGTTGATTCCATTGCAAAGACAAGGAAATTTAGAGAGCTTAGGTTACTTGCCCCAGGATCTGTGGCTAGAGAGTGTCCTAGGATGAGAACTCAGATTCCAGTACTCTTTCTACCACATCATAGTGGTTCCCAACTGTTGCTCCTTTACCATGTGATCTAGCTAGGAATTGTTATTCTTCATGAAGACAGCAAAGCAATTTCAATGGATTATATGCAAAAGAGGCTATTCTGATATCTTTGTTTTAGATAACATCAAACTTCTTGACAGAAATAGAGAAAAGCCACTCTTCTAGAAATACATTATCGAACTTGATTCACTTCATAATTCATCCTTATTCCAAATAAATGTATTATTCTAATAGTCATGTTTTACAGAGTATTGTGCCATATAACCTTATTCTGGTTCATACTTAGAATGAAATATAACCCTTGATATAATCTTGCTTACGTAGTAAAATATATTCTAATACTAATAAAAACTATATTTAATAGATTCTCTTTAAGTTCAGTTTTGTGTAAAATGTGTAACTATTAGCTATTCAATAAGCATGCATTTTCTATTTAATCTGCATTTATTTATACCCTGCCTTTTTACAAAATAGATTTGGGGACAAATTGAAATTTATAAGCATGCAGATGGAGTGGTCTAACAGCTATATAATGTGTTTACTTTTGTGTGTATGTCTTATAAGCAAACTTTATTAATCTAATAGTATCTTTCATGGGGTTAACGCTATCCATTTTACCACTTTCAGTGTAGAAAAATTAACTGACATAGCTCGCTATCACATTGAAACATCTACAAAAATTCAGAATGAACTTTATTTAAACCAAGAAGACTTCTTCATTAATGGCAATGTAAAAGTCTTTCCAGATCCTCCCCCACCGATACATCCTCCACCTGTAGAAAAGGAAGAAGATGGCACCCTGACCATCGAACAGCTTGACAATCTTCGGGATCAGTTCTTAGATATGGCACCTAAAGGTAAGAAAAATAATTATTGTGAAAAGAGCACAAAAAAAGGTTAAGATTAACCAGGACAGCAATCACTTGCCAGCAAGTAAAATCAGCTCTATGGGATCGTGTAGCACTAAAACATGTCCTTGCTTTATTCTAGTTTATTAAATATTTGTTTCATACAGCACAGACCCTAATTAAACAAGCAGAACCCACTGTGAATAATGCTTGAGCAGTGTGGTGATCTTCATTCCTGGTAATTCCCTCTCCTGTCCTCCCCGCCCCTTGCTGACAGGTTTGTATATTTGAGTATTACTCCACTTGGCAGCTTACAGAAAGACTTTGTGCATACTTCTAGTTTAGATATTGTATTGAGATTATGAGTTTGTGTCTCTCTGAGGGGAGACCAGGGAATAGAAGATCTCCCTTTTATGTTGGCCTTTTCCCTCAGTGCTTGTAGACCATAAGCAGAATCAAATAAGCTGTTAGAAAATGTTGGCTTAATTAATTAGTTTGTTCATGTGTATGTGTAAATGTTTTCTGCGCACAACAATTTTAGCTCTTTCACATTTTATCAGCATGGACCTACAGCATCTGCACAGGCTTTTTTTATTCAGGCTTTTCCTACTTCCAGATATTCTTCAATGAGTTCTGTCAATTGATAGCACAAGTAATTCAGACAGATCACATAGGATTATCATCTCCACTTTAAAGGTCTACATACTGACTCACAGAGTTTAGCAGATCTTTTTACCTATGGTCTAATGTCATTCAGAACTCTGCAGATCCAAAGGTCTTGCCCCTTCTCACTGAACTAACTTGCCTCTCATAAGCAGATTTCTTTTATCTTTCAACATATACTACTTATTGGGAAATTATTACTTTTGCCTGTAGCATAGTCAACTGACTTTAGTATTAATACAATGTTACTTTAAAAAAAAAAGGTCCAGTATTTCTAGAAATTCACATCATATATCATTAGTAAAAAGAGCATTACTCTAAGTCTGAAAGCTTCCATGCCAAGCCCAGTGGGTGAAATTGGTGTATATGTGTGTGCCTGGGTGAGCCTTGTGCTTTGATATGTCAGCTCATCAAATCAGCTAGAGCAGGCTTTACAGCTCCAAGGTATAAAGCTAACACTTCAGCTGTGGAGGGACAGAGGTGCTGTTTGGCAGCATTTGGGCATGAAGGAAACATGGCTATCAGCAGGTACAAAAAATCTCAACTTTACAAATCAGCCCATGAAATCCCTTCAGTCCTTTGGTCAGGCAGAGTGCACCCTCTTCTCCATGGTGCAAATTTCACAATGCCCTGTTATTGTGTACTTCCCTCTTCAGAGTTGCTTTTTCTCTTCATTTTATCCAGGCCATTATTTTACACATAAAATAAAAAGATATGTGTAAATGGATTCTAATCATGACATGTGGTTTGCTTTAATCCTACATTCTGGTGACTGGGAGGAAATCACTCAATTAATAGGTAAAAACTAAAGGCATCTGGGGACCCTTGAATAGGTAGAAGTGGATTTTGAAAATTATGATCCACTTATAATATCTTTCAGAAGGGACCCTAGTATCCATGATGCTAATCATAATACTTTCTTGGATCCAACCTCAAATCCATAGCTCATATTTCAACTAAAATTTTAAAAATAAATTTTAAAAAATAGCAGCTATAACTTGACATGTGTCTCAGAAGATTAACTCTAGAAATCCTTGGGAAACAAAGATGTCGACAGATAAATGTTTTCAGACTATGGGAGAAATAAGAAGGGAGGGAGAGGAAATATAGGAAGGGAGGGAGGGAGAAACGGAAAGAGTTTTTTTTTTTTTTAATTTTTATTTTTTAAAAAGCAGAGTAAAAGGAAACCACTTGCTCTAGGAGCTGAGAGTTTAATTTGAAAAGGCAAGCAAAGAAGAAGGAAGTATGAACAACTATTAGAGTTCTTTCTGGGACACAATATGAATGTTATTCAAGTGCTCAAGAATGCAAAGCATCAGTGTGCCCTGAAATTGGTCAGGGAAAAGTTTGTGGAGCAAAACTCTGGAGGGGAAATTGAAGAGGGTAAAGAGATTTTGTGGCAAGGCTAGAGAGAATGTTTACAGCTAGGGAAAGAGCTGCTGGAAACCCTGCAGACAAGAAGCATGAAGGTAGGAGCATGATGTTTGGGAAACGGTTAGGAGACTGCTCTGCTTTTCTTTCTCCAACTGCATGAACTTCAGGCGAATGGAAGAGGAGACTTTCTCTATCTGAGGAACCACCTCCACCCACTCAAGCTGGAGTATTAACCCATATGCAAGAATAACAGTTGTAATTAACACAGAATTTACAAGGCTATACAATACTGTAGGACTTGGGGATTGTGATGATTCAAAGTGAGTTATGTATGGTCTATGGGCAAACAGTTTAGACTCTTTTCTCTATTAACTCAATTATACCATTTGAAAAAATATGTATTGCATATGTTGCTTTTTAGGTGTATCTAAAATAATAAGTGTTGGGAATTTGATTGACAGGAGTAATGTTCATTGTTATTATTCTTACTATTCTTATAGAGGGCAGGGAAAAGTATTATTCCATTTTCTGCTTCCCAGAGTCACAGAATTGGAGGTTCTCTACTGATACCCTTGAAATCAGGCTCCAAACATTGACAATAGCCATGTCTCAGAAAACCCATTAACTGCTGCTCACCCCTTTTCCCGTCTCTTCTGGCCCCAAAAAGTATACTCTGACTTTTTTGTTTTTCTACCCCATTTGTCAATTGTTCACTTAAGAAACATGATACACACCCATCCGTCTTTTAAATGAAGGCTTTTGTTGTATTTCTTCCAAGAAATGGAAAACAGTCCTTTATGATACCTTCCATTGTATTTACCCTAGAACTCTACAATTTCAAAAGACAATCTTAGTGAGTGATAACAGCTTTGAGAGTATGGAGGAGCTGACTGAACATGGTGTGTTTCAAATGTGTGATCCTGCAGAACTTCCTGCTCAAACTTGCTATTATTTCTATGCCAAGAAATATAAACATTTTCCTATATTATTTCATATATGCCCATGCAACATATAATATCTAAGATGCAACTTTCAAGTTCACTAAAATATGTTAACAGATGGATTTTTTTTTTGTGGGGGAAGCATACTTATTTGCATATAATAGCCATTATGTTTCTATGCCCATGGTAAGATTTTTTAGCAGATTTATAAGGAGCACTGATGTTACTAAATTACACTTTGCAAGTTTTAATCATGCCACACAAATACAATTATTGGATTATTATTTAATCTTTTATTAAAACAATGACTGAATGCGTTAAATACTTGTGACTAGATGGTATCAGGATGTAAATGGAAAGAACTAAAGCTTCAGGGGTTTTCTGCTACATATTGTTTAATTCCTTCGAAAACAAAAGTCTTCATTAAAATAGCCCTTACTAAAGAAAACATAAAATTGAAAAGCATAATATATTGTAACGTATTCAACACTCCTTTTCTGGTCAAATTCTGCCACTTAATGATGATTCTACCTCTCTTTTGGTAAAGGTAATGATTAGACCTAAAATAGTATTTATTGATATGATTGACACAAATATACCAGAAAAATAATGACCTTATACATGATAATCAAATGAGATCATGCAAAATGCAATGAAACAGTTGATTACACTTGCATTTTTCCTGCCACTTAGCAAAGATCCATACTTTAGAAGCATGAGAACAGTATGAGTAAAAGAAAGCTAATGAATTAGCAAACCATTCTTTCCATCGCCTATCCTAGGAATCATTCCTATGAGCATACTCCCGGCAGAGTTAGATCTACTGAATATTTTCTGAATTATAACAATAGCCAATTTGACCTGGTCACTATGTGTCAGACCCTTTGCTAACATTTTCATATGTTAATTCACTTATTATTCACCTCAGTCTATGATGGGATGTCTAGAGCCAAACGGCTCTTTCTCAAGTTCACCTCTTGTCAAATGACTGTCATATGATCTTGGACAAGTTATTAAATTTCTCTCTGTGTCAGTTACCGCATCTGTAAAATAAGAATAATAATGATACATATTCCATGTATTGAAATCAGGTTGTTATGAGGATTAAAGTAATTAATATATGTAAAGTGCTTAGAAAGAGCATAGCACATTTATTCAGTTGAAACTAGAATACTTTAGTAATGTTCCCCTGTCAACACTTAAGCCATAGAACCCTTTTTCCTTGTAAGCCCATCGGTACTCTATGAAATGCCTGCAGAGATTTGGTTCATAGCTATTTTTGCTTCTACTGAGAAGCTACCTGAAGAGAACATAGTTTAGCAAATTCTACACCCTCTCTTTTTCTTCAAAAGAGGCAGCATTTGTTTAAGGCCTGTAACACTGCTCTAAGAAGCTGGCAAGGACCCCTTTTTTGAATCCCTTTTGGAGACCGATAGCTTTTTTTTTTTTTTTTTTTTTTTTTGAGATGGAGTCTGGCTCTGTCCCCCAGGCTGGAGTGGCGCAATCTCGGCTCACTGCAAGCTCCGCCTCCCGAGTTCACGCCATTCTCCTGCCTCAGCCTCCCGAGTAGCTGGGATTACAGGCACGTGCCATCACACCCGGCTAATTTTTTTGTATTTTTAGTAGAAACGAGGTTTCACCATGTTAGCCAGGATGGTCTCGATCTCCTGACCTCGTGATCCGCCCGCCTCGGCCTCCCAAAGTACTGGGATTACAGACGTGAGCCACCGTGCTCGGCCGAGACCGATGGATTTAATGACTGGTCTCAGAGACAGAGGGTGCACATTCAGAACTCTAGGCTGTCGTGGTTAAGCTAGATCATTCAGCAGCATGGTTTTCACAGGAGTTCAAAAGCAGAAGTAGCTATTACTGCCTATGTGAATCAGCAGGAGGGTTAGCTCAGAGGCTTTTGAAACTGGACTTTCCAGGAAGAGAAGCAGGGGAAGGGTATTCCAGGCAAAGGGGAAAATGGAGCAGCTGTGGAGATTTTGAGATTGCATGACATATTGAGGGAACTATGAAGAAACAAGAGGCAGGAGATGGGACCACAGAGAGCTTGAGGTCAGGTTGTGAAGTCTCAAGTGGCTTGCAAATGACATGTAGGAAAGGATTTTCAAAGGCATTTAGAGCCAAGTGTCATGGAGAATGGATTGGAGCAGGGAAGAGGCTATGTGTGAGAGAGTGGCAGGCACTGTCAGTCTCTCTGCAAAGCGTCAAAGAACCCAGAGGCAGGAATAAGGGCACCGGAGTGGTTGGTTGCCTGAAAGGAGTAACTAGAAAGTTCTATGGATTTTTCCAGTCTTAGTGCCTCTGAGAAAATTATTAAAATACAATATTATGTATTTGCAGGTAAGTATTTTGATCTGAAAATTGTCTAAGTTAGTCTGACATTTACCCAAATCAAGAAATACCGAAAGATTTCTTAGAGAACGGAATGCTATAAAAGAATAGGTGTTATTGACAGAATTATCACAGCAAGTGGCAAAATATGGGGATTATAGCAAAGAGGACTATGGCCCCCACCTGCCTTTGCTTCTTTCAATGGGCGAACTCTTTCCACTAGGTCAGATTCATATTGCAGAAATGCAGTAGTGAATCTAGAAGGCTTTAGACCTGTTAAAACTGTTTATGGGTAGAGTTTCAAATGTGTCTTCAGATTGAAACACACAGGTATTCTGAAGCCAGACACGTTAGACAAATGAAAGTATATACTCAGAATTCAAGGTAATATCTTTTGGAAAATCTGTCCATAGAACTAAAATTCTGTTTTGAAACTAGCACAATCAGTATTGGAAATTAAATTTTATTTTTTAAATGTAAATTTTAATTTTAAATTTACTTTTAAATTTAAATTTCTATATATATACATACACACACACATATATATATATTTATATATTTAGACAAGGTTTCACTCTGTAGCTCAGGGTAGAGTGCAGTGGCACAATCATGGCTCACTGCAGCCTCAACACAGCCCCTCCACCTTCCAAGTAACTGGGTCTACAGGTGCCTGCCACCATGCTCAGCTAATTTGTTTTTTAAATTTTCTTCTCTTTTCTTTTCTTTTCTTTTGTAGAAATGAGGTTTCACTGTGTTGCCTATGCTGTCTTGAACCCCTGGGCTTGTGATCCTCCCACCTCAGCCTCCCAAAGTGCTGGGAGTACAGCCATGAGCTACCATGCTCCCTCCATATGTCATGCAATCTCAGAATCTCCATAGCTGCTCCATTTTCCCCTTTGCCTGGAATACCCTTCCCCTCCTTTTCTTCCTGGAAAGTTCAGTTTCAAAAACCTCTGGGCTAACCCTCCTGCTGACTCACATAGGCAGCGATAGCTACTTCTGCCTTTGCACTCCTGTAAAAACCATGCTGCTAAATGATCTAGCTTAACCACGACAGCCTAGAGTTCTGAATGTGTACCCTCTGTCTCTGAGACAGAGACAAAAAGAGATGTTAACAAAAAGATACTTTATTTTTTCATTTCTTTATTCATTTATTCACCAGCATTATGTGAGCAGCCCCCAGGCATAGTGCAACAGGCCTAATATGGAAGACTGACAGGTAGCCCAATGTTTGAGTAAGAAAATGAAGGAAGTAGCTGTCAACTACAAGGAGACTAATTTTAAATGAAATACAGTAACATTTAGAATTTGCAAAACCAGGGGTCTATTTTAATTACAGCCACAAAAAGACTGATTAAAAAGCAAACAAGAGGCTGGGCGTGGTGGCTCACGCCTGTAATCCCAGCACTTTGAGAGGCTGAGGTGGGTGGATCACCTGAGGTCAGGAGTTTGAGACCAGCCTGACCAATATCGTGAAACCCTGTCTCTACTAAAAATACAAAAATTAGCTGGGTGTGGTGGCAGGTGCCTGTATTCCCAGCTACTCGGGAGGCTGAGACAGGAGAATTGCTTGAACCCAGGAGGTGGAGGTTGTAGTGAGCCGAGATCGTGCCACTGGACTCCAACCCGTGCAAAATCACGAGACTCCATCTCAAAAAAAAAAGAACGTAAAGGAGAAGATAGACCCAAATAAGGTATGAAAGGCAGAGACAGATCAACTAATGTCAAGGTTTTCAATTAAAAGAGGTTGAGATAGGAAATCATGAAAACCAATTAGGAAAGAAGATAAATTTTCCTAAGCATCTACCAAGTGCTTAGCAGTCAGCCAGCCTTACAAAGCACATTATTTAGTTCTAGTCAGAGGGGTCAAACCCTAGAACCATAAAGTATTGACCAAAAAAACCCTGAATATATGTCAACATGAAATATTTTAGTAAACACATTCAATTTTTTATTATATGATAAAACGGACAATATAATCTAATGATTAGTAGCATCAAAGAATGTGAAGAAGGGACACATATATGTGGTCTAGGCTCTCTGCCTTCAGGGAGAAACTGGTATTGAGGACTTTGTTTTGTGTAGTTTTTAGTTTTTTATCCTTCTGTTCAGATAAATATATGTCCGCTTGTCTGACAAATAATCAAATATGTGTCAAAAATTAGACCTTCGGGGGAAAGAAAAAGATGAGGCATGAGGCACAGCTCCTTTACAAAACCACCTGGCAAGGATTTCAAAGCTTCACATCCTTTTTTTGTAAATTAACAAGTTTGCTATGGCATTGCAACAGAAGGTAGGACTTAGGCAGGAGGGAAGGGATGTCCAAAGCAGATCTTGCAGACACACTACCATGCAAGCTCTATTATTCCTTTTTCTCACCAAGGGAAGAAAATTTTAGCTAAAAGTCATGTCACTCTTATGCATGGAGAAATGGATTCTAAAGCGAAGAAGAACATAGCAGTCCTTTCTTCATACAAGACACATGGAAGAGGGACGTGTACAAACAGGCTGTGGAGTGTTGGGCTACTGGTGAATCTCAGCTCCACCACTTACAAGCACTGCAACATTGGACAGTTTAATAAACCTCCCTGTGCCCCAGTTTTCTTATCTATAAAACGGTGATAATAATAGTCAGTACATTTTCTGAACTAAATAATAGGGGTAATGGATTGTAAGGATTCTATGATATAAACTAGTTAAAGCACTTACCAGAATGCCTGGTAAGTAATAAGCACTCAATAAAATTTTTCCAAAAATAGTGAGCAAATGTGGGGGGCAGAGATTAAGCAAAACTGAGGGTAGAAATTGTGATTACTTAAAATAACAATGTGGAGTTATTTTAAAGGCAGGAATCCTTCAGATGATGTGAATAGAGTCACCGAAAAGCAGAAAAGGCCACAGAAGCTTGACCATTACCTTCCAAAAAGAAGCCATCAATTTTTGAAATTTTGGCTTAAAAAATATTCATGGCTTATATATGATGAGCTATTAAATCTTATGTTCTGCGCCCTGTGTCGTAAGCATGGAGTGAAGTCAGGGGGAAGTCAAGTGAATTTCTTTTATGGTACTGACAACTTTAGGACTCAATTTCTCGATGCACATCAACTCAGCGAGGCTCATGCCAAGGCTTCATTAATGGAAGCAACAAGTAGCTCTCCAGTGAACAGAGCCACCACCAAACTAATGATGAGGACCATGAGCAAAGTAACCCTCGGGAGAGTAGAGAACTTATTCAGATCATGCCATGCTATTGCCAAGACCGGACGTACCCTCAAAGATTTTATTTGGATGTGCAAATTGGATGATATGAAAGGTGTTGATATTGGCCCAGTATTCAGAACTAAAAACTCAGCAAGAATGTTTACATACTTTATTGCTGAAGTAGAACGAAAAAATCTAAGAGAGAAACTAGAAAAAAGTAAATTTTTTTCTGTCATCAGTGATGGAATCACAGACAGTTTAATCAAAGAAGTCGAACTTGTTTATGTGCAGTTTGCACATGCAGGAAAAGTGCACTGTCAATTTGTTGGGGTACAGACAGTAGAAAGAAATGATCCTCTGGCAATAAAAAATGCCACTGAGAAAACTCTAGAGATAAATCTTCAACTTAGACTGTCGAGCCAAGACTGGGCAAAGAAGCTGGTTGGTTTTGGAAGTGATGGTATCCATGGCATAGAGGGAGAGAACAATGAGGTGGCCCTGCTACTACGAGAAATACAACCATGTGTACAGACTGTATATTGCTTTGCACATCACCTTGAACTATCTTACAAAGTGCTGTTCCAGAACATTCCTCTGTACAATGATGTCAAAGATCTCCTTCACAGCATTTATCACTTTTATCACAATTCTCCTCTTCATAAGAGTGCTCTGAGAACTGCTTTCAAAGGCCTTCACCTTCGACCTGTGATGCCTTCTCAAATAGGAGACAGGAAGTGGCTTCATGGATTACAGGCAGCCCTCCAGAACTTTCTCAAGGGATATCCTGCAATTGTTCGGCAACTGTACTCAGTAAGTAATTTTGAAATGCCACATTATTTTACTTTTTCAGAATCACAGAAAATACTTTTCTTGAGATCTTTGGAATAATAATTTTGGGAAAGATAACCACCATGTTGTTCCCAATCTGTGTTACAGGCAGGCGAAGGCAAAAGTGACACCAGTCAAAAGAAATCTAAAGAACTTCTGGAGTCCCTTCTCCAAGCTGACATTGTTAAATTTGCCCACTTCTTGTTGGATGTCATTAATGTCCTTAGCATTCTGTCTGGTGTCAGTAAGAATAGAAATTCCTCAATTGCTGACATATTTGCCACTTTAGAGTCAATGCTGGAAATGCTCCAAAGGTATCAAACAAGGTGAGAGGTTGGGATGATCTGAGGTCTGTCAAACTAGACAGTTTGGCTTGTGAAATTATCTGCCATATGTTTCTTCATTTAATTTGTTAGTTGTTATTTGGGTGATTTTTTTCTCCCCAGACTAGGGCCAAAAGAACGCATGATGGATTCAGCCACACACTTTCATGGTAACTGCCTCAGAGGGAAAGAAAACATTTCTGCTGTGAGAAACATTGTTTTAACACATCTTATCAAGAGGCTTCAAGGCTGTTTCAGAGATGCCAGCCAAAATGTGGTGAGGGCTACCATGATTGGAAGTTTTAAATTATGGCCCACAAAGATAAATCAAGGTAATCTATATGTGCTGACTTTGAACCTATTATTCTCTGATGGTCTGTGTGAGTTTCTTTTATATATGTGACCATTTTTGGTATCTTGATTATAGAATTTGGAGAAAAAGAGGTATCCATCCTGACTGCACATTATGAACCAGTATTAGAAGCTGCCAATGTGAAACTTAGTGAAGTGGATGCTGAATGGAGCATGTTGAAATTAGAGATTTATGCCAGGTAAGCAAGAAAGCAAGCTGAGGAAAGTGGCTGATATTTATAAATGTTTGGGTAAAACTTGGGAATCTTAACCTTTTACATTTCTTCTCCTCCCTCCTAGATTTCCGAACATTCAAAAATTGACCTGGGATTTTGTGAATTCCATTTACTTTCACAAGTATCCAAATATCCTGACACTGGTCGACCTAGTGTTGACCCTTCCTGCAAGTTCAGCTGAAGCAGAACGTGGCTTTAGTCAGATGAAATGGACCAAGTCACACATGCATGCAAAAATCAAGGCTGAAATTATGACGGATGTCCTAATTATTCAGTTGAATTCTCCAGACATTAATAATTTTGACCCTAGGAAAGCTATCCATTTATGGAATACAAGAACACTGTCTTCAACTGGTGACACAAGAACTAATTCAGATTGCTCATCAAACTCAGAAAGCCATTATGAAAGTGATTAGCAGTATGCAAATGTTGACATTGTTGTTGCATATGAATGTAGCTCTTTTGCATAGTAAAAAATAAAATAAAATAAATATTTTCCAGAAACCTGAAATTTAAAAGTAAAACAGTAACTTGTCTTCACATCAAACAAAAAGCATTTGGCTTCTTCCAAACATACAGAGTAAAAAGCCCAAGATTGTTTCTTCTATAACTTTCTTATATATTCTTCTTATGTATTCATGTGTTCTTTCACACTATTTTGGTGGAGCTGTATGCTTCTACACAATGGTGTTATTTTGATGTCGTTTTTTTTGAGAGTTATCCCCAAGGGTGACCAGAATATGATTACGGTCTGAGTTCCCTTAGGCCTGGCATACAATTCATTATTTTTCCTCGATAATTCTAAGTGATAGTTGCATTAGGTAATTCACTTAGAGCCAAACTGAAAGAGAGCTTCTCTTTTCATCTGTGAACAAAATTTGTAAGTTTATGTAATTATTTTATTGCAACTATATCACTACATGCTTTGGCCATGTAAGTAACAAAGGCAAATATTAAAACAGTTTTCACGCTAAATCCTCAGGTAAACAATTCTTATGTAAACTGAAGGTACTGTCTTATTACACTTTGTTTTACACCATATCCATTCGAGATTGCAGAAATGAATTGCAGCTTACAAGATTTTTAAAATACTCTGAGACTCTTCATGGTTTCAGTAGATTTTATTTATGGCTGTAGCTTGAAGAACATGACTGATTTATGTCTGACTTATCTAAAAACCAACATAGGATCTTATAAACCACAAATCACTGAAAATTCTGGTATCTGGGAAAATGTTCTCATGTCTATAAAACTGGATGCTCAAGTTTAATGAAAAAGGATACATAATGTATTTCTGAACAGTCTGCTGAATGGCCAATTGTATCAAAGAAGAAAGGTTTCATTCCTGCTACCGAGAAAATTACCTTCCAAATCTCAAAATTGTGTATTTGGTTTGAAGCACTGAGATTTTAGAAGGATTATTGCATTTCCCCGGAGGTTAGAGGAAATGCTAAAGTTCATGTGAACTTTTAGAAATGCTAAAAACTTCGATGTAAAAAGAAAATCTTGGGATAGCAAGGCTATGTTTCATTCTTTTTATTCCCAAAACAAAGAATAGCTATGTACTCTGGACCTGAAAGATCCCTGGATACACATTAGGAGTCTCTCCTTGTTCTAGAAGGTACCTCTTTGTGTTGGTTAGCCAGATATTTTGTTTTAAGTAGATTCATTTATTTTGTTTTCTTACTTCTTTCTTAATGCATGTGCATGCAATTTGAAGTGAAAAACAAGGTAGATATCTCTTTTAGATTGAGTTAAGTAGGTTAGTTCATAAGAGCAAATAATTTAAAAGGTTAGTGGTCTTTCATGAAATACTTAGGAATACTGAGCCAATTAGGTGACTAAATTAGCACTTTCAATCCAGTAATTTAACAATTCAAATTTCTCTACATTTACAAAAGCAAATATGGTCTGATCCAAAGGGCAAGATGAGGATAAATGTATTACCTTGATTGTAGTGGTGATCTGCATGCATTTGGAACACTTTTATTTAATATTTGCCAAAATATTTTACTCTTGTGCCCTACTGCATGTAAAAAACCTTAAAATCATATATTTTTTGAAAAATTCAGCCTATTCTGAGTGAAAGATCAAAGAACACTCTAAACTAAAAAGTATACAGTTTTATAATTTTACCCAATCTGGATTTAATTATTACTAAGCCAAAAAAGACATTTTGACTTAGTTGAGAAACAATAATGAGACAGCATCAGGAAATTATTATTTTTATATTTCCAAAATGTCTTCTGTTTCTTTAAAACTTACCATTTTATATAATATGAATAAAGAGATTTTTCAAATACTCATTACTTCTATTTTAGCAAAAGAATATAAAAACCATCACCTAAACCAAGTGACAAAGTATTTTTCATTGTATTATAGGCATAATAGGAAATAAAGCATTTACTGACATTCTGATCGATTTGGTGACCCTGAACCTTGGCACAAACAACTTTCCTAGTAGTTGGATGCACCTTACCCAACCTGAAGTAAGCTTCTATGTTGTTTGAGTTTTAAAGCTTTAAGCATTCTTATTTGATCAATGCATCAATAGTTCTAAAATAACGAGTACTTGCATAGGGTCTGACATTTAATATGCAATCAATGAAACGTGAGTGAATGAAAAATGAATGAACTTCCAATTAAAACATATAGTATGCACATGCTCAATATTTGAAAAATAAGTGATGATCTGTCAGTGGAATATTATAGAGACCGTGATGTTCAACCAGTGAGTTTCTATCTATAACTACCTTTATAACTTTATAACTTTCTTCTAGTTACAGGAATTAACATCTTTATTAACAGTCAACTCTGAGTTTGTGGACTGGCGGAAGTTCCTGTTAGTAACCTCAATGCCTTGGCCCATTCCCTTGGAGGAGGAACTCCTTGAGACCCTTCAGAAATTCAAGGCTGTGGATAAGGCGCAGTTGGGCACCATCACTTTCGAGCAGTATATGCAGGTTGTTACCAGCACCTGATGGCATTGATAACACCAGAACACTCGTGACCTAAGAAGTGAATTACTCACTGATGTTACATTGCCAGGTCTCAGGCCAGTGTGTTGCTTCTCAGCTGCCCTTATCTAAGCACCCAGAGGCAGCACAGGCAGTGTCAAAGCCCCAGGCAGAAGCCTGACTTCCATCCCCAGGGAAAAGATCTGAAAAAGTCAGAACTTCCAGGAGAACAAAGGGTTCTGAAAGCAGTTACATAAACTTTTTTGTTCTTCTCCTGAGTTCCTAACCAGTGGTTCTTATCCTTGGCTGTACATTAGAATCATCTGCAAAGCTTTTAATAAGGCCAATGTCCAACACTCTAAGCTCCCAGAGTAGAAAGAACAGTGATTTAAAACACACACACACACACACAGGGAAAGGAGCAAGTTTTTTCTCTTTGGGGTGAGAGGGTGATGAATGTTGAGATTATTTCTGAGAAGTTGAGTTTGAAATATCTGTGGGAAATGAAGAGAGAAATGTCCAGTCTAATATGGCCCATACAGAAGGGATCATGAGTCAATACCATATAAATGGTTATTGAATTTATGATTGTATGAGATCACTCAAGGAAAGTGATGGATAACCCAGTAGGGTATGTAATACTTGGTCATTGGACGTGGCAGGTGGGATGTAACTGGTAACTTGTGCTAGAAAAATTGTGGTGCAATAATAATTACAGAAGTTAGATGGCAGAGGGTTGAGGAAATGAATGAGTCTATAGAAAGTGAAAACAAGAAAAATCAACTGATTTTTGAGAAGTTTGACTAAGAAAAGAGTAAAAGCAAAATTTCATAACAGAGAGGGGCCTGATTTACTTACTTGATCTTTATTAATGTCATTATGTTGCTCACCATTTCACATTGCTGGTAGACATGAAAGAGGGAAACTTTCAGAAGGAACTAACTTTGAAACAGAGTAATATTCTCCAGGTGCCTGCATCTCACATGTATTTCACCAATCACATACATTCCTGCTTCCCTTTTCTTCCTTAATGCATGACCTCCTTTTTTTGTGTGAGAGCTCTGAGGTTTCCAGGCTCATAGAGTTGAGCCAGAAGGAAAAACACAAACTATGACAAGGCTCTTTCAGGGCTAATCAAGACAGGTGTTCGGTTATTTGAGTTCTGCTACATTTATTTTCCAAGTAGATTTACAATTTGTTGAGGTGGTTTTGTTTGAAAACAAAAGCAGCAGAGCAAAACTTACTTTGTTTCCATAGCTGTCTTAAGATTTTAACAAGTGCGCACTCATGAAATTATTGACCTTCGCTATTTATTGTATGTGGCAATCAACATAGGATGTCAATTTGAATATTCTTTTGCACAAATATGAGAAGAACAAAGGGTGTTGGCAATTTTCACCAAAGTGCTGAGCTAAAACCAGGAAACTATTTTACCAAAGGTGTGAGTTTCTTAGAGAAAACTGGATGCTGCGTTTAAGAGAAACTCAGCAATACTTCTTTGAACACTGCCTGTGTTTTGGGAATGGTTGTTTTCTGAGCTCTGACCTCTCCCCTTCCGCCCTCAGGTCCCCCTCCTCTGAAATCCCCATTTGGAAAGACCCACTTGACCAGCCTGCATGCGTTTCACAGATTGTCAGCACTTGCCAGCTCACTACCCCTCCTCCACAATGTTGTTTCAGTGGAAAAATCAAAATAACTTGAGGTCAAAATTTTACAAGATTGTCGAAAACGCCCCATTAGGATGGTAAAATAGTATGCTTGCATTGCGGAAATGAAGTTCTAATTGGTGTCAGTTATAAACTGAGACAGAGGGACGTCATGAACAAGAGGTCACCGAGATCTTGAGTCAGTTATTCAGTTACTTAACAGAGTTTTCTAAAACCAGCAATGTATACCAGCACCATGCAAGTCTCCACAAACAGATAGGACATGAACAATACATAAGGAATGTGAGCTATTTTTAATAGGGCACAGACTCCTCCAAAATATGACTAATGCAAGATTAATACAGGGTAGCAGCCTCCAAGCCTCATCCAATCATTAAAAATAGTCAGCATTGACGGGGGGCAGTGGCTTACGCCTGTAATCCCAGCACTTTGGGAGGCCGAGGTGGGTGGATCACGAGGTCAGAAGATCGAGACCATCCTGGCTAACACGGTGAAACCCCGTCTCTACTAAAAGTATAAAAAATTAGCCGGGTGTGGTGGTGGGTGCCTGTAGTCCCAGCTACTCGAGAGGCTGAGGCAGGAGAATGGTGTGAACCCGGGAGGCGGAGCTTGCAGTGAGCCGAGATCACGCCACTGCACTCCAGCCTGGGTGACAGAATGAGACTCCCTCTCAAAAAAAAAAAAAGTAGCCAGCACTCCTAATCTATGGGTACTTATTTATAAAGTATATACATATACAACAGCACATAATACATTATGAACATTATCAAAGATGTAAAAATAAAAATTACATAAGAATGAGATAAAAAGAAATGTAAATTGGAGTTCTAGTATTTTCTCCTACACCCCTGTGGTTTCTGCATCCTACTTGGGAGATAACTGCTCTAGAGACAAGATTGGCTCAGTCTCTGTGGCTTTTAGAGAAACATCTCAGCATAACACATACTTTA